AATGGCTATTACCTACTCCTAGTTGCCCTACTAAACGCTCTTTGGCCTCCCTTAACGTTTAGAGGCTGTGACTACTACCCTAGTTAATATTATACTAATTATGAAGCCAGATTCATTAAAATTATAGGTATCTTCATCTATAATCCCATATGTGGCCTTCGTGTTCTCTACGAGTAAGAACTAGTCCTAGATAACTATAGGGTCTTCGTAGAGAGCTCTCTTATAGTCATACTTTTAATTAAACTTAACTTAGAGCTCTGCCTAGCGCTTTATGAAGGTTATAGGCTAGTTTTGGCCGACTGGGTCCCTATGCCGCGTAGCTAGTAGAGAATTGGCCATATCTCTAATACCATTAAGGCGGGGGGGAAACCCTTATACGTCTAGGTTAAGTACATGCTTAATAATCACCTCCTCTTCTATCTTAAGTAGTTTCATTGAATTAGGTGCGTAGTTATATTAAAAGGTAACTCTAGCGTGTTGCGTGCCTAGTGTACTTTAGAAGACACTATAGATAGCTATAGTATGTTACTAGGATAGTGTTACGTCTTATTTAAGAGCCTAAAGCGTGAGCTGTATTCTAGCTTCTTTTAAAGTAGGTAGCTGTTGAGGTAGTTAAGATATCATGGCTATTATTAGCTACCGTTAGTAGTTAATGGGGTCTTGGTATAGTGGCCAGCTCGCTTATATGGCCAGCTTACCCGTGAGGTACGTTAGTTAATTAACACATTAATCTAACGCGACCATACTACTTCCTAAAGCCCTTATTTCCTATTAGAACCCCTTCGAGGGTAGCTTAGCCCAAAGCTGTTAGGATTCATAGGCAAGCAATGTAGATAGGTATAATATAGGCAACTAAAGTAGATTATAGGAGAGACGAATTACTGTTAGACTAGATCCGATAGCTTCCTAGCTTTTATAGCTAGCTACTGTTAGCGTGGGCCTAATCGTCCCTGGTTACGTCCTGTCTCGATGGATATCCCTATTAGGATCCATAGCCCGGCTGTGGGGCACTCGCTGCTTTTGGGGCTAAGGGGCTCTGGACCCTAACTCAGCCACATGTCACGTGACCCAAGTCACGGGTCCCAGGAATACCAGGAAGGGCACGGACCCTCTATGACTCTGGGACTCTAGGACTTCTAGAACATAGAGTATATAGGAATACGAGTCTAAACTCTTATACTTATATTCAACCTATTTATTAATCTATTATTTAGATTACACTTAGGCTATATTATTAACTCATTATATCTTCCTCTAATACTATTATCTTAATAAAAAACCCTTCCCTTCCCTTAGTTGTCTTACCCGAGAACTAACCTTAACTCTTTAGGACTAGCTACCCTTCTGGATTTAATATCTTGAACATCCTTAATATAATAATAGGGACTCCTACCTCTTCCATAGACATGGGCAACGCCAT